ATTTATTATTTCCTATGTAAAATAGTACTAAATATACAATATGCTAATTATTATACTGAATTTTGCATCTGAGTACGTTCAAGCGGAGTATTGAACATCTTGTTCCAAAAGTAAGACAAACTTTCAACAGCGGGTGATGTTGTTTCTCTCCCTTCCCCCGATTTTGCCAGTCCTCCAGATATTCACTTTACTTTTGTCACATGTGTTTGCTTTGTTTGTTCTGCCATCCTCCAGGTCTATACACAACCTTTCCTTTCGACGGTTTCTGCAAATCGTCAGTATTGCGAATATGAACACGGCCTAAAAGACATCAAAAAAGGTCGAACTTACTTTTATATCGTTTTTGGAACTGCCTACTGGGGCAGGATACAGCATCGTGATGTGAGAAATGGTGATATCAGTACGACTCCCTTCCCAGAATTGTTGTTGTTGTTGTTGTTGTTTGTTGAGTTGAGTTGAACATGAACGAACATGACCCCTCCCGGTGTAATTTCACCCACAGTAGCGCGATCGCGCGATCCAGCGATCGCGCGATCCGGATCGCGCGATCGCGGAGTCTGAACGCGCTCTAACGAACGGGTCGATTAGGCGTCGTGGAATTGCGGCGTGTGCAACCGCACCGCAGTAGTAAACAATACCGTACATTGAAATGGTTAAATTGCATAATTCTTAATTCTTTGGTTTGGTTGTTGGAACGGAATGTTTATTACATTGTCGCACCGAAACTGGACTGAACTATGAAAACGCTCGTCTTTCGCAGGTGCTATACAGTGCGTAACAAAAGTATGTGGACACCTCAAATTTTTGTCCTGCAAAATTGCCTTTGAATTTTGCGATATGAGACCGTTATTGTTGAATTCCTCATAAGCGAAAACAATACTTTCTGACTTTCTATGGAATACACTACTTTCGAGCAATTTGTGAACTACTGTACAATTATTTATTGTTTTGAAAAAGTTTCTTAATAACAAAAGTATGTGGACACCTGAGGAAGTCCAAAGTTTGGCTCCAGATCTGCAATCCATTTTTATGGTCTCTAGTCCCCATTAACCTGTACTCATGCCTCGTCGTGGTAGTCCTCCCTACGAAGACGAACAAGCTCGGATTCGAGCTTTCAGTGCTGCAGGACACTCGAATAGAGAAATTGCAAGACAGCTTGGACTTTCGGCGACGTGCGTTGGTATATACCTCCAGAATCCTGATGGCTACCACTCAGTACCTGTTTCGAGGCACCCACGATCTTTGTCCGCAAAAGACATCAGAAGAATGGCCTCAAACTCCCCGCTTTCTGTGGCACAGATCCATGCCGCGATGAATCTACCGGTCTCAAAAATGACAATATGGCGCTCTATTCGATCAAGTGAGCACATCACTCGAGAGACCATGAAGAAAGCTCCCTGTCTGACTGCCAAGCACCAGCTGGCAAGACTGAACTTTGCGCGTGCAAACATGGCGACGTCGTGGGACAAGGTGCAGTTTCTTGAGATATTTGTAAAATCAGAAAGGCAACATCTTATGCGCATTTCTTTCTTAGGTTATCTTCACTGATAAGAAAAAGTCAATCTCGACGGTCCAGATGGATATCAGCATTACTGGAAAGACCTTTGTCCGTTGATGTTCTCGAGACGAAATTTCGGAGGCGCCTCTTTGATGGTACGGGGTGGTTTTGGAAGCAGAGGAAAGTTGGAGCTTGCCTTCCCATCGTGCTGTATGAACAGTCAGGAATACCAAGGAGTGCTTGAGTCTAACCTCTTGCCTTTTCTGAGCGGGCCACGACGCAGGACACATGTGATGCAGCAGGACAACGCCGCCGTGCATGTTTCAAATTCTACTAGAAAATGGCTCCAACGCAATGGTATCAAAGTGATTGATTGGCCGGCGTGTTCTCCTGACTGCAACCCAACCGAAATCCTGTGGGGATCATGGTTCGACGAATCTACATGAACAGTCGGCAGTACAACAGCGTGCGAGACTTGAAGGAGGCGGTAGTTGCTGCATGGGAGGAAATCGACGAAGACACCATGACAAATCTTGTCCACAGCATGCCAGACAGAATGTTCGAAGTAATAGTGAACACTGGAGGAAGAACCAACTTCTATTTTCCACGATACATTTGTTTTTTGTTAAGTGTCCACATACTTTTGTTATTAAGAAACTTTTTCAAAACAATAAATAATTGTACAGTAGTTCACAAAGTGCTCAGAAGTAGTGTATTCCTATGTTTTCGCTTATGAGGAATTCAACATAAAGGTCTCATATCGCAAATTCAAAGGCAATTTTGCAGGACAAAAATTTGAGGTGTCCACATACTTTTGTTACGCACTGTATCCTTTTTAGGACTGATCTGCTCGAAATTGTTCCGGTTGGAAATTTTTGGTAATACTTATGAATGTTCCGGACGAATATACCGACACATA